GATTAGCTTTAGATACTTCCCTCTAAAAAGGGACATGCTGGATGCCTTTCCAACATGGGATTGATTTTTCTTCTCCAATCTAGGAGTGATTCTCTCTTGTGTTTTCTGCTAAAGATGAAAAATATCCTGTTTGAGGCAGACAGTTTTGGAATGGTGTTTGTTGTTAACATCTATATGTTGTCTGTAACCCAATTTTTGCCATTTCTTGCTCTATAACCTTGTGAAATCTTCCACTTTCTATCCCAGTGGTTTCAGCGCTTTGCTGCTGTTTGCTTGGTTTTATAACTTCATTGAAGCTACAATTGATAAAATCATTCATCTTTCTTACTACTTTATTACTCCAGGTCTCACTATTTTGGCCTCCTGTGGCATTCTGTATCCATTTTTTCTGTTCTTTCACTGTTCCATACAGACATACCCTCAGCCAAATAGCTCCAGTCTCTTTATGTTCATGAGTCTGCTCAGTCCCTCTGAGGACAACAGCCTGTACCCTTTTCCCTCATCCAGTGACCATTCCTGTGACTCTTCTTCTTTCCCTGTTCTGTTCCCTCGTATGCCCAGCCTTGCTCAGATTTGGTTATCCACCGAGTTCCCTTTTGACATTCTCCTTCCAACAGGTATGAACTGTTACAGAACTGTTATGCTAACAGTAGATGCACGTTTGTATCAGCATAGCTTCTTTATGTTAAAAAAGCATATTTTCCCTACTTTCCCTCCTTACAGTTAATTATCCTCCTTTATTAAAATGGTTGACAATGCTCACATTTGATGATGTGAGCAGACTTTAAAAAAGCAGCAAAATTTCATGGCAGCTGGAGCCTTTATTTGTTCCTTTGAAGTGTCTGTCATTCCATTTAGCACAAAAATAACAAATATGCTGGTGTTTCCAATAATTCTTACTTTAACAATTAATTTGTGAAAGTTAGACCATATCTTCAGCATATAACCCTTCTTAGAATGCGAATGCTCGTGTGTTTGAGAAATGCCATGTTGTAAACTTTTTTGCTTCATTCTGTCAAGCATGGAGAGAAATGAAATCGTTTATGTGACTGAAAGTCAAATTTGGTATAGAAAACTTATCACATTTGTTGGGGTTTTTTTTTCCACATTAAATAAGAATCAGCCCCTGCCATTGTAAAATGTGCTTCTGTTCATGGAAGTAAAAGCAAACCTTTTTTACTGGTTGTGGTTATATTTTGTGTACTCTTACTTGGTATTTCTGCTGTTACTGATAGTGGTATCTCAGCTGCTGCGGTCGTTCACCGTCCTCCGTTCACCGTTCTCTCATTTTACTTCCATCTAGTTTCACAAAGGTTTTAAAGCTTTTCATCTGTGTGTCCAAATTCATTATAGCCAGTGTTCTGTCACCTCATGGGGTGCATTTCAAACTGACACGTATATACCTTTATGTTTGAATTTCCATGCCTAGCTTAAGCTCTTTATTTATTTACTGATGAATGATTATTGTGCCCTTTGTGATACTTTGTGTGAGATCAGTGCCTCTTCTCTGCCTTTACTGGTACCTGGGCCTGACTTGTCCAATATGAATTTGGCTTATGGTGTTAAAGGTCTCGTTTCTTTTTAGCATTGTATATAATTGTACCTGCATCAGAGAATAAAGGGAACCAAACAGTTATAGTGAGGTTTTGGGTTTGGTTTTCCAAAGGCATTATTGTTTAAGTATTCATCTTTTTTAATGAAAACTTAGAAATGTTTCAGAACATTTCTATTTGTACGTAGAAGTGTACAAATATATGGTGATGGAGAATCCTCATACATTTTATGTGCTACAGATCTGTTTAAATATTTATATTGGAAGAAAATTGACATAATGCTGATACAGACAATGAAAACCTGAGGAAATAGGTATATCTGACATTTTTCTGTGCCACAAGAAACTGAAAAACAAGGAAACCCACCTTTCTAAGGGTAGAGGGAATTAGACAACCAAATACTAATTACTGTATTAATAGTAATTAATATATTTTGTCTGGTTGGTTTTCAGCATAAATATCCCATGGAGGTATGGAGAAGTGTTGCATTTATTGCATGTTTGAAATTAGATATTTGGCAAGGCATTGTTCACTTTGGAATTAATTAAAAATTTATTGCCATAAAGTTCCGTAATTTTGCAAGACTCTAAATTAAAAGACAAACCACCGTGATATGACATCAACTGTTTTGGCCGGGCTGGAGTGAAAACCAGGTATTCTATCTTTCTGTGGTTGATTCTTCTGAACTTGATACAAGCTAAAGAAATTGTCAGATTTGTAGTTTTTACTGGCAATGTCTGTCTTGATGCTAACTGTGTACAGTCAACAGTCAGCATTCTGTTCCTGGTTCAGGTTCCTTCAGGTTTCTGGGTTATGACCAAAGCAGTGTGGAAGAACTGTTTAAGAAGAGATTAAACAGGAGAGCGTAGCTTGTTCCTCTTTCAGCCAAGTGTCCCAAGTTTTACTTTTTCCAGATAACATGATTTCTAGACTGTTTAAAGGTCTGTGCTAGTCTTCAGTTTCACTTAGGTTTATACATGGCACCACCTGGTTTCTTTATTAATGATAGGTTTTAGCCTTATTACCTCATGTTAGGTATATTGCTGTAGTCCCTAGAATTCTGTTCAAGATGACTTGGGTGTTAGGAGCTCTCAGTTCTGAATGAGTCCTGCTCTTTGCTGCTGTGCTTGTGTGTTTTTCTGTTATTTCCTGTAATTTTTTTCTGAGTGCTACTGAGAGCACCTTTTGCTGTTTTCATCACCATGGAGGTGATGACTTCTCCCAAAGTGTCTTTCGTACCAGGAAAGGTGGTTTTGTTTTTTTTACGTTTTCTGAATATGAGAAAATTTAAGTATCAACAAATTCTTTTTCAGGGTATGGTCTTGTGTTACTTTTACCTATTTCTCTCAAGGCTATTAAGTGTTCCTGGTATCATTTCTGTTGAATTTGCTTTATAAAATAATCTCTGCTTGTGCTTACTCGAGTATTACTAATAATACTAAGGCCTCTCCTTTCCCGGTCTGTAGCATGCAGGAGTCATACCAAATGCTTGGGAGTGATTGTAGTATTTTTCAGGTGTTAAAGGCACCATTTCAGCTGCATCTGTAAGAGCAGGTGCTTTTAAGCTGCATGTGACAAACATGGGAAGAAATGTGGGTGAAGCCTTTGAAGGTGATGTGTGTAATGTTGTGAAATGAGTCAGGACTACCATTGTATTGTTCAAATGCATATCCAGTTTTAGAATTTTCTTACAGAACACATAGTAATATAAAACATTAGATGAATGTTCAGTATCTGTAGTGATCGACTGGGAATTGCCTCTTTATGTAAATAGCATTTCTGTACTATTGTCAACATGATCCTGAGATGTGCTCTTAAATCTTTTTATCAAGTCATTGAAAAATATCAGCCATGCTTGTAATCTCCTTTGAAAGAACAGCTTGGAATTTTGAAATACATAATTATTACTTTTAGAGATGCTTTTAAATCTCTGTTGGTTGCTGGTAATAATCAAGTCTTGTTCTTACAGTATTGAGAGGTGGGCAAGGTGTAAAATGATTTTTTGCTCTTGTCAGTTTGGCTTTGCTTTGACTTCTATTCATGGTGGCATTAGTTGTTTACCAATAACAACTACATGGCATTTCTTCCTTGTGCTGATTGTCTCCGAGTGGTGACACTCGTGTGCATGTACTGCTTAATTTGAGTATAACCTGTTCATGGAACTCTCTATTAGATATAAACAACTTAGGTGTTGCTCCTCTTTGATACTGAGATAGTGCTGCAACTCAGGAAATATTTTGGAATACTTTCTAAAGCAAAAATATCAGAATAATTTTTTTAAACCATTTAGGTTCCATATGATAAAGAAATTCTTACCTTCTTGTAAGAGATAAGAGCTGTTCTTGGCTTGGAAATTAGAAAGTGCAAGGATATAAAATGTTCCACACTTCATTAATTCTTCTACAGAAGCAGTAGTTGCTGGTAAATTATTTTCAATTTATTGAGAATTTTTCAATCTGCTAAGATGGATCTCCATTGGTAGAACCAACTTTTGTACTCATTCTTGCTCATGGGCTTGCGAGGTTATACTATATATGGACAGACTAATCTTAGTGGGATACTTGGCACTTCACCAGTTTGTTTCAGAAGCTCACAGATGCTTTAAAAAATGAAGAAAAACACCCACAAAATTTTCATCCTTGGTTGACCTGTGACCTCCATCATTTCAGGCTAATACAAATATTTTCATTGGTAAATCCCAAATTTCTTTGAGTATTGATCTTGCTGTTCTGCAGATAGGGAGTGGGGGGAATGTTTGGGGCTTAAAGCTGAAAACTGATCAAACAAACATCAGTCAATTGAGTGCATAAGGCAGGAGGAGCCGCTCGGTGCTGAATTGTGGTTCTGTCCTCTGCTTTGTGGTGGTGTGGGAGACAGGATAACTGCTATCCATCCCCCAGGAGAAGGGAAGGAAGGCTGCAGGGCACTTACCTAAAGTCTGTGCTCTGTGGAAGCCAAGTGTGATGAGGTAAATATATGGAAAACTGCTGCAGTGGATGTGGATGAGTTTTGGTAGTGCAGTACTCAAATGTACTTTGAGGTGAAAGAGAGAGGAGACAGAACGTAAAGGTTTTATGGGATTTTTTTATAAGGAGTACTGATGTTTAATTTCTACACATCAGTGCATAAAATGTGATTATGAAATCAAACATTTTAAACTTTCATTATGAAACTCTTCGTTATGATCTACTCATTTCTTAGTAACCTCTCCTGTTACTTGTAAAAAGTAGGAAGAATGTCTTCATATCTTGAGCATTCTGTCTATCAGTACACCAGTAGTCAGGAACCCAATGAAGAGGTTATCAGCTTTCAGTATGTGTTTTATGTAAGTCTACTGCAAAATTCAAGAGGCTGACTTGACAGCACACATATATCATGAGTTTCATCAATATTTGTGAAAGAAAAGCATTGTACAGGCTTAAAATTATTTTTTCAAATGTCCGTAAGCTTACCAGAATTATACCTTGTTTCCTGCACAGGCATTTGTAAAGGATGTGCATGAAGACTCTATAACAGTTTCATTTGAAAACAAGTAAGTGTACTGCTGATGTTATATCTGTAAACGATAGAGTAGCAACCTTGCATTTGATTAACCTAAATATGACTTAATAGTGTAGAGTAACATTTTAACTTGCTGTTAGTAGATTTCAGACTTAATTCAAAAACATACTATGTGGTGACATTTCTATATAAATGCCTTTAATTGCTTAAAACTGTCTAAGTTCGAAACTATAGTGACTTGTGTTTTCCTGGGAAGATAAGCATGTTGTTACTGAATTCACATGATGACAGCCCATGTTTGAGTAAGTCAACAGTTGTATCACGACTGTCTCTCTCATGTGAATGTCTTATTTTAGTTTTAGCAGATTACATTATTATAAAATTTGTTCTATAGATAAGTGATGAATAACAGTTTTCTAAGCTAGAAATCAAATTTATCCAGTCTCCGTTAAAGAAACTGAAAATTAAAACTGTATTCAGACTGAATCCTAATCAAGTTTATCATAATGTGTAGTAGAACCCAAGGAAAAAGAGAAACAGACTTGTTTTGAAGGAAGTGTCAAAATGTGTTATGAAATGTTCTTTCTTATTATATATACATTGAATCACATTTCCTCTAATACATATATGCACAAAAGCTCCACAGAATTTAAAAATGTAAAATTAATGGATTGAAAATGTTTCTGATTTCTACAAAGAAGGTGAAAATGTTTAGGCTATTGACTGTATTTTTATTTGTAGCTGGCAGCCAGAGAGACAAATACCATTCCATGATGTGAGGTTCCCACCACCTGCAGGCTACAATAAAGACATAAATGAAAGTGATGAAGTAGAGGTGTGTATTGCTGCATTTGTTTGGGGAACTGAGAGAACTTGGGGTGAAAAGTGTCAGCCAAGCCACTGGAGGGTTTGCTTCCATGGTATATGCAGTCATCTCTTTTTTGGTTCCAAGTCCTACACAAAACAATGTCAGGCACATCATCAAAAAGAGATTTTGACAGTTGTAAACCATACAGCTGTTTTGGAATTCCAGGTACCATGCCCTCCATGCTGAGTTACAAACATGATCAGTGTTGCATTGATTACAGATCAGTTCTTTAGCAGAACTGAACTAATTTAAAAATAGATGCTGAACTGTAGTTCTTCAGCTGTAAGTGAATGTCTGTATTCCTAAAGCTTCAAGCCGAATGAGGTAGTGTGTGTATATAAAATACAGCAATACATGTGTATATGTAAGTACTTACATGTACATAGAGATTGGCTTTAAAGCAGCACATTCCTAAAACTGGTTTTATAAAATTCAAGTTTGTAATTAATTTAAAGAAAGAGAACATTCAAGATTTGCATTTTGCTTGCATGCTATGAAGTTCATTTTGATTTGAAAGATACTGCAAAACTACTTTAGTGTGGATGTGGCTGATATCATGTATGTGCTAAAGTGTGGATGTGTCCTCTCACCCACTGATAGGACCTCATCAGCCCTACACACAATTAGAAATACTGTTGATTAAATATTTACAGATGTAAGTATGAATTATCTCTCCTCTGACTGTATGCTAGACTGAAGCAACTAATGCCAGGAGATTGGGTACAATATTATTTATCTGTGCAATACATAATTTTATCTCTTACCTGTATTTGCAATAGATATTTCAGCTGTTACATGCTTGCTAAGTAGTGCTTAGATTAGAGACTCCATGTAGTAATATATTTTGCTGGATTTTGTTCCTGTAGATTTTTGTTCCTGATTATGTTAGTGTCAGCTTTTGTGATGTCTTTTAAGAGTGTAATGTATGTATTTTCTTCAGGTTTATTCCAGGGCAAATGAAAAAGAACCCTGCTGTTGGTGGTTGGCTAAAGTGAGAATGATAAAGGGTGAGGTAGGAATATGCATATATACGTATATATACATTTTATATTTATTTATACTTTAGTTTTCTTTTTTCTAAAAATATTTGTACATTGTGGTCTTAACTAGTCTCTCTTCATTTTTGAAGAGTTTCTGATTAGGAAATTGATTAGGACAGTTGCAATTACCATTAACCTCAGCCTGAAAAGTCAAATTTCACTTGTACAGTTAACTAAAGTACCTTTTCCTTAGTAGTGTGTTATGCTCACTCTTGTAATAAAATATGTGGCTTGGATGATTTTATTATTTTTATATCAGTTCTACGTAATAGAATATGCAGCCTGTGACGCTACATACAACGAAATTGTCACAATTGAGCGTTTGAGATCTGTGAACCCCAATAAACCTGCAACAAAAGATACTTTTCATAAAATCAAACTGGCAGTTCCTGAAGATTTAAGGCAAATGTAAGTACAAGTATTTCTTTATAACTTGTTTCAGAATGTAATTTCTTAAGCCTGAGACAAACGGGAGTAAAAATGCTTTTCACTGCTCTAAATTAACTTTGAAAATTTTCATATTAGAATGTAGAAAATACAAATATTGTCATGGTCATACTTCAGAAATAGAAAATATTATTATTAAATTGCAAGTGTCTTGGAGGAGGAAATACTTTCTTCAAGGTTTTAAAATTTGTGTACAGTGTAGATGAAGGTTTTTCTCCTTACAACTGTTCAGTGATGTGCACAGATTAATCTGAATCCATTCTTTGTCAGCTTCTATTGTCAGTGATGGCTCTGGGAACAGTTATGGAATAACCAAACCTCCCAGATTATGATACTAAACCAGCTAGATTTCTTCTAGAACATGGACATGTCATTTAGATAAAGCTCTAAAAGTCAAATTGATACTTGTCTTGTTTCCCTTCAGATTGCTTTCTACTTTTTTTTTTGAGGTGCATGTTATTGCCTCAGTGTGAAATAAACTATAAATTCAGAAATTTTTTTTCTAACCTGAAGTTAACGTTATAATACACAAGTTCACTGAGCAGTGAGTAGACAGGAGCCTGGAGAGTTCAAGTACAGCATGAGATGAGCATAAGGTCATTAGAATGCTACAGTGGTTACAGTGAAATCACACATTTTACTGGTTCATGATGTGTTTGAAATTCTGGACATGCTGACTGAGTAATTATAACTTTTTAGTGTAGTTGTAACTTGTCATGTCATAGATGTACATACAGAAAATTTCTGAAATACTTCTATTCTTCCTCATGTGAAAACAAAGAAAAATGAGTAAAATAAATGATAAGAGAATAAAGTAACACATTAAAAGGTACAACTTGGAGATCTTTATTTGGATTCTTTGTATTAAGGAATTAAATCTTTTTGGCTGTTAAATGTGAATGCTATGGTTATTATCTTTAACTTGTAGCATATTTTATTCCTAGGTGTGCCAAAGAATCTGCACATAAGGACTTCAAAAAGGCAGTTGGAGCTTTTTCTGTAACATATGATTCTGAAAACCACCAGCTTATTATTTTGGTAAGTACAGATGTCGTACTGTACTATTGGCAGTGTTTTGTTTCTAAAATTCATGTGTAAACCACTGTTTTCTTTATTAATAATTTAGTCAATCAACGATGTAACAACAAAGAGGGCGAATATGCTGATTGATATGCACTTTCGAAGTCTTCGTACCAAGTTATCCCTGATACTGAGAAATGAAGAAGCTAGCAAACAGCTGGAGGTATGTTTGTTTTCCCTGAAGTAATTGGAGTAAAACAGATAATAAATAAATCCTCTTGTGCATTTCTTAGCTGGTAGGACTTGCATTGGGTTGAAAGTATTTTTCTACTGATAATATTCCAGGTGTTAAGGAAAAGTAGATAGAGGTGTTGCCCAACAAAGAAGCTTACAGTTACAGGGCCTGTTACTGTGAAGACTCATTTTTATCAGCAGGATTTTCTGTGGGATTAAATACAAATATATAGACACACACAGAGATTTCTTTCATAGTTTGAAGCATAAAATAATTAGCCGTTGTTTCACAAATAGTGCCACATATTTGATAGCTTTGAAAAGAGGTGATAGTGAGTATGTCTGATACTGAGGTGGACTAGAACTGGATCTAGCAAAATAACAGAGTGAAAATGAGATGGAAGGGGTGAGACTGATGTTGGTAGAATGTACGAAGGGATAGGTTTGTCTACAGATAAAATGTTAGGAAATAATCTTACAGCAGATACAGCTTCTGATATTCCTGTGACTGGAGAGTGGGTGTTGACTGGCAAGAAGCTTGAGTCATACTTGTCCATGGGTAAAAGAAAAGAGAAAGAGTAGGCTAGGAAATAAGGGGTTCTTTATACATCAGAATTAACATTTCTTCATGGTTTTTCTCCTATCTACAAATTAGAAAAACTAGCAGCATTTCTGAAAACTTCTCAGATTCCCTGTCAAGAACCAGAGGTACCACTCAAACTCAGTTTTGCATGGGTGTTGCTGCAGAGCCAGGTTTCATTCCCCCCATCCCAAGGGCTGCACCTCTATGGATTTAGCTTGAAGTGGGATGTCACGTAGTAGTTCAGGTCTCTTGTATCCAGTGAGTCTACTCACTGTTACAAGAAGATCCCACTTGTGTTGTTCTGTTTTTAGTCTCTTGATTTCTGTGTTTCGGAGCAGTAATCCAAGTTTGTTTGGGTCTTTGTTTTTCTGAGGACCAGGAAAGGACCAGTTTTTACTCCCCGGTGTTCCTTGTTGAGCACCACACTGTAGCTCTTCAGTAATCTTTATCTTCCTCCAGAACTGACAATTGTGTGGGCAGTTTACCTCTTGAAGTGCAAAGTATTATTTTGGAGGTGGGAAGAACAACAGCCTCTTTAGAGCTAATTCTCTTTACATGCCCCCACAAATGCATGCACCAACAACTGTTGTCATCGATTCCTTTCCCAAACTAATCTTGGATTCTTGCTGTCACTGTAATGCTGAACCTTTTTGCTGCTCTGAAAGTCTCAAACTTGATGTGATTTGTACTAGAAAACTATTACTGGACTTTAGTTTTTACTTAAGCAGTACTTAAATGAAGGTGTGAGACAAATGTATGCAGTTAAAGTTTGCGTGACAAAAGTTGGCTGGTATTCTTCATTTTGGCATTTGTGTTTCTTGTACTTATAATAGATATAAAATCAATTTCATCCAAACCTGAAAAGCTTCAGATACTAAGAAATCATACACATTATTTGCATTGAGACACCAAGAAACAGACTGCACATGTCCATCTGCAGAAAAATTAGTGAACATTTGGGCATTTACTGTGTTAGTATTAGTTCACTATTTCCATCAAATACATTTTTTCTATGTCTCATACTCACTGAACTTTAAAAGTCTGCCACTTTCTTTCTTCTAACAGTTTTGCCATTCCTGATTTTTGAGCCATTATCATTAGATCAGCTTCTTTTGTTCTGTTGGATTTTTTCCTTTTCTATTTCTTGTACCTTCTTTCCTGCATATTAGCTTCTTGACTTAAATGGCTCTACTTCTCCAATGTTACTTTAGAGTTCCCAGTAAAATAACTGATTATTTTTTGTTTGCATTCCTTCCCAGTGGGTGTAGCTTAGTTATATGAGTTGGGGTTTTTTTCCACATACTAAAAAGCCTGAATTTACAAATGTTTTGCATTCTAGTTTGTATTTTATTGTATCTAAATGGAATTCAGTCATGGCCTCTGTGTAGGTATTAATACATTATTTGCTTAGTTGTTTCTTATTAATGTATTAGAGGGAAGTAGAACACAAAATTTACTGTGCTTAAATAAAACACAACTTGTAATGCATAATTTACAGAAAAGCCAATGATATTTCAGTACAAGCAATAAATCTACAGTCTGTCATAGCCAAGGTCCCCAGTGATGACGGAGCTCATCTTCTCTACGTATTTTAGATAGTTGTGATAACAACTGATCGTTGTCTTGGTCATCCTGTTTTCTGCTCTCATTTGGATATGTATAACAGATGTCAACTAGTAAATCAGCATTTGGATTATCTGTTAGAATGTAGATCTGGGAGCATATAAAATAAGTTTTGCTTTCCAGGTTGTCTGTAATCTAGTTAAAGTGCTTGATGGAGCTCTCTAGTATATGAAGTACTTCGAGACACTTGGACACTTACACTGCTATCTGCTCTAGCCAGTTCTTTGTGACAGCCATTTAGCACAGGATATTTACCAACAACCATAAGCAGGAGCAGGTCAGAAAGCAGGAGCAGTTTAGCTGGGACAGAACAGGGCTTGCTGTGGGCATTTTCTTGGTGTTTTCTCAGCCTCTGTAGAGTCTCATCTCGCTGAGGTTAAACTGCTAATTTAAAGTGTGTGTGTGTATATGTCTTCACAGTAGTTACAGATTTGATGGGGATGCAGAAACATGTATAGGATTATATATCTTGGCTTTATCTTTTTTCTTCTTTACAAAACACTTTCCTTAATAGATTATCACAGTTGGAATTCTCTATCTTCCCTCAATGCATTAAGTTATTGTTCCTCTCCTTCTGTTATGAACTTGTCAGTTCTCAGACTGCCCCTTCTGTTGTGGTAGAGGTGTGATTCTGAGTTAAATTCTGAGCATAATTTTTTCTCTGAATTTGAGCAATGTATTGCAGTTATACCTTAACTTTTGTGTTGTCATGCACAGGCACAGATTCTTTATTTTTTTAAGTGCAGTAAATACCCACAGTTGTTTTCTATATATTTGTTGTCAGTGATTGAGTTAGTGCTGTTTCCCCCCACCTGTTGAAATGGGTGCAGTTTTCTGTCTCAAGAGTTCATAAGGTTTGCATTAATAATCTACACAGCTATTTTACTGCCTCGCATGAATGCTGTCTTACCTAGTAACACTTGATGACTGTAGCTGTTAAAGGGTAATTCAAAATACAGAGGTGTCAACACAGCTCGAGGCTAGCCTTATGTTAATAGTTAAAAGACTTCTGAAGAAGACTCTTCAGTGTTTTCAAAGTGAAAATAAGTGTATCAAAAGGATTGATTAAAATAAAAAGCAGGCTGATAAAAAGAGGCGCACAATTTATGTTGCTTTCTCTCTCCAGTGCACTAAAAATCAAAGCAAGCTAACATTATGTTTTCCTTCAGAGTTCTAGGCAACTTGCATCCCGATTCCATGAACAGTTTGTTGTACGTGAAGACCTCATGGGTTTGGCCATTGGCACTCATGGTGCTAATATTCAGCAGGCCAGAAAAGTCCCTGGAGTGACTGCCATTGATCTTGATGAAGATACTTGCACATTCCATATTTATGGAGAGGTAAGTTCCCATCTTTAGCCTTTCAGAAAATACCCAAATTAAACAAAGAAAGAAACAAACAAAAACATTAGGAAAGCTAATACTGTTCCTCACATATATCCGTCTGTTTTAGGATCAAGACGCAGTGAAAAAGGCAAGAAGCTACCTTGAATTTGCTGAAGATGTCATACAAGTCCCAAGAAATTTAGTAGGTATGTCAATTCTGGAGGCTAACTCTGTGACAGTAAGGAAAAATGCCTTCTGAGAACTGCATTAAACTGCAAGCAATGTGTGATGCTTAAATACAAGGTAGAATAGTTTCTGGATTGAGCCAAAGAATTAATTACTTCCCCCAAAAGGTGTCCAGAGATTACTCCAGCTATACAAGAGGTGAATCTGCAGTCTCATTTTCCTAGTATATTTTTGGATCCTTTCTTTGACTTGCATTTGTCCTTTTTTTCCTGTCCTTTTACATCTGAAATGGTTTGTGGGTTGAACCTAGTTAAGGTACCCACTCATCAATAAAGCACCCTGAAGATGATGTAAAAGATTTCCATTGCCAAACATTCTTTTTATTAAAAAAAAATCCTTGAGAGCACATACAGCCCTTGTGTATGTGGGGAAATCTTTTCATGAGTTTTTGATGCTACTTTTCTATTTGAAACAAAATAAAACTACATTATTTCCTTTGGTAAAAAAAGAAAAGAACAGGGAAAATTTAGGGTATAGCACAGCCCTAAAAGCAGATCCTTTAATAGGTTGTCAGCAGTGTATGAAAGCTGGTGTTGAAGCAGTGTCAGATTCTGCAGTGGAGCAAGTACTTAGAAATGTGGCAGCTCACCTCTGGTATTACTAAAACCAGTATTTTTCCTTTCCCTGCTCCCTCCTAGTTCTTTTGGTGGTAAATGAAAATGATAAGCTCCATCATCATTTTGACTTGAGTCTTAATGTCTTTGTTTCTGCTTAGAACTTTGCAATTACTTCTGTTTTGGCAGGTTTTCATTTCCACTCTGCTTCTTGACCTGGATCCTTTAGAATATAAAATTGGCCAAACCCTATGTTATATCCAAAATAAGCTATGTTGGATAATTTGGCTTTTAAAATTTCTAGTCATTTTCTTGAAAAATGCAGAAGGCTCTTTGCTTTTCTTTTATGATGTTATTGAGATGCTGAATTTTTTTATCTAAAGATACTTTTATCTGACTTTTCTACTTGTTTTTAAAAATTTCAACCAAACAGAAAAGGCAAAGAAAAACCTCACCCAAGATGATGCTTTTTGCCTGTTTTTTTGTTTTGGTTTGTTTTTTTTAAAGGCTGTATTTATATTATATGTATTTATAACCTGAAACATAGGTTAAAAATACATGTCTACAGTCCTTAGTTAGTTAGTTTACAATATTTTTGTGTGTTGCCAAATTCTAATAAATCCCAAATATTTAAAATTATGTATTTTTTTCATTGGAGTAGCCAATGCAAGTTAAGGGGGGTTTTTTGGTTATTTGGTTTGGTTTACATGACTCCTTGAAATCAAAGCTAAGACTTTTTTGCATTTATTAGTAAGCTGGTGTTCCATTTGGCAGTGATATGTAATGGCAGAAGAAGCTTTTGATTCTCAGAGCAGTCTTTGTCATCAAGGAAGAACTTACTGGCCATATTTTGTCATGTTTTCTTCAAATATTCCTGCTAGAGTAGTTGAAACACAGAAATGAAAATTTATTTGGCTCTGTACAATAGGAGAAGTATCTCTTGTGACTAAAAGTGGGAAAGTGGGGTTTAATTTGTTCTTCATTAATTAATTGTATCAACCAAGCAATATCTGTCATGCGCTTGGTATTTTCTGCTTATATTTCAGTGATGTGAAAAAATATTACATTGCAAGTTTTCTGGCATTTTTATCAAGTATTTATTTTTGTGTATGTGCAGAAAACATCTTTGGCATTACTCTTTCAAGCTTTTCTTGAAAGCTGTGATTGAAGGATATGGCCTTTCCACATTACCTCCCAAGTTGTTTAGTTTTCCTGTCAGTTTTCAGGCAGCAATTTGTTTTGCTGAGTTTGGAGAGAACTAAAGTTTTCATTTTCATTGTCTCAGACTAGAATGTCTGCTTTGTAATACAAATGTTTACATTACTGGCATTGCACTATAATTTATTTCCATTTCTATCTTTGACTTCTTAGTAAGTTTTAAACTATTGTCAAATACCTCATTTTCAGAGGAAAGAATTTTACATGTGACTCAGACAGTATCTTCTGTAATATAACAAAAATTGATCAACTGAAATTCTGTGAATTAACCAAGTTGTGCTTCATGCCTTACTCAAAAGGTAGTCAGCAAATGTTAGGGCATTGTAAAAGGATTTTTTTAGGTTTGGTTGGATTTTTTAAATGCAAACAGGAATGTTTGTAAATCACTGAAGTTCTTTTACACCTATCAAAGCAAGTAAGCATTTTAAAATTTATTTAAATAA